ACGTCTCTAAACGTCAATAATACGTTTTTAAGACGTTATACAGAAACGTCATTAAGATGTCACAAAAAAGACGTTTTAAAGACGTTGTTATTTAGTCACTTGACGTCATTCGACCAGTTATGACCAGTTTTTTTACGTCATTTTGACGTGAGTCTGTTACTTGGGCTGATTCTTGTGTCGTTTACCTTACCTACTGCGTCACTGTCACTTTGATTGAGAGACGCTTTATATTGTGTACATATGGTATATTCATATACGAAAGCATATGATTTATTTAAAAGAAGAGAATAGATTCTTTTAAAATATATGTTTTAAAAAGTATATAGAAAGTATATTTAAAAAATATTTACATGCTTTAAAAGTAAGTAAAATAAATTATTTTGTAAATTTAAATAAATTGTTTGAAAATCATTGATAATTACTTATTATCCAGTATTTTTAATACTGAAAATAAGTAATTATCAATGATTCTTAGTATGATATTTCTATAAGGGTTTAAAACGTCTTTTTTGTGACATCTTAATGACGTTTCTGTATAACGTCTTAAAAACGTATTATTGACGTTTAGAGACGTCATAAAACGTCATTAAGTCGCCTAAAATGTCGTCATCGATCTGTGACATTAGATTATCATTTTGATGATATTCTCACGATATTTTTGATCATTCCTTGGTTATTTTTGATTTTGAACTTACTTAGATTTGGATGTCATTTTGACGTGTTTGCTACCTCCCTTATAGAAATATCATACTAAGAATCATTGATAATTATTTATTTTTAGTATTAAAAATATTGGATAATAAGTAATTATCAATGATTCTTAGTATGATATTTCTATAAGAGCTGGGAGAGGTCTCAGGAATGCCCATACAGCACAGAAGCTTGCAGCAACATTGCTACAACGTTGCAAGATTGCATATTGCAGTACAACGTTGCAGAGACTTTGCAGTGACATTAATTTGCAATATTACTTTAGCAATATTGCAGTAATATTTAAAAAAATATTACGAATATAATATATTTTATTT